TATGGATATTTACGACATTAAATGCATTAGTTTCTCCATAGTATTATCCAATTTTACATAAGCGAACAGTTTTAACATTTAAATTCGCCGTTTCATGATTTTTTTGTAGAATGAACTGAAAGTATTGTATCAGACGGCACAGATATTGCAGTTTAAAATACAAAGAAACAAACATTTTATTTTTCTTTGCGTTCTGGAGATTGGCCTGAGTGTGAGAATCAACAATTTACTTTTCTTTACTTCTGTTGTTCTTCGCTGAGGGGAGTGGAGGTCTGAATTGCATACATGGTCGCCTGGATTACACACATCTGTAGCCCACTAACAGTTTGAAAAATATTCTTGCTTAAATTTGTATAAAATGAACTTATTATATATGGATGTTTATAAATTAAAGCAGTTTTCTTGAGATTTTCATAGTCAAATAAAAAGTAAATACTTTACTGTTCACAGGAAAATTACAGTCCGCAAGGCCCAGAAAACTAACATAGCAGCCCCTTCCATAAAGGGGTCACTTCACTAATTGTAATCTTATCAAGTTTACCATTACGATAGCAATATCAAAATACCGAAATAACAGTGATGAAAACTGGACACAGGATAATGTCACTTTATATGGGTCCAATTAAAGCTTATATTTCATTTTTGCATTTATTAATGTAAAATATCGTCAAAAATACTGTCTCCTGTTAATTAAATATTCGCGTTAAAAATTTCGGGTTTTCTTTTTAGACAAATGCATATTATGTTTGGTCTTATTATTTCATTGTATATGTACGTCATCTACCAAACCGCAACAGTGATGAATGAGTCCCGTCATGCTTGAAATCCATTAAAATAGAAATGCTTGTTCAAAGAAAAAAGTGTAATCTAATGTATCATCATTTCGTAGAGAATTAGTATTGCTTAGTATAAGAAACTACAACACAGTAAAGATAATCAAAGGTGACTGTTAGTTGTTGTCACACCTTCAGCTCCGTGGACGAGTGTTATACGTCGTCTTTTTGATTAATGGTATAACGGTACCAATTGTACAACCCCCAGGTGGGCGGAGCTTAAGGTGTAGGGAACATTGCATTCAGAAATAAACGACAAAACTAGCTGTGATTGGTGCATTATGTAAGAGTTGTACTTTCTGTTAGGCTTTAAAAAAAAAGTTGAGCCCCTTGGCAACATGTGAAATTATGTTAATTCATATCTAGATCACATTTGGTATTTTTTTAAGATTTTTTTAAATGTGGTACACATGACTGAAAATGTGTCCGGTGTAACTAGATAACTCTTACCCCTGTCTAGTTCCAGCAGAGTTATCTCTCTTAAATGCAATGGAGTACCTATTTTCGATGTTATTAAATTAACAATCTAACATTGTTCTATGTGACAGTGTGTGACATGCATGCTGAGGTTGGATAGAAAGTATATTTATTTCGCAAAACATTAGCATTGCGGTCTATGGAAAAGCAATTGGTACCGTGATACCTAAAAGTTTCATCAGCGCCGCCATTTTGCTTAGTAGAGCCCGGATGTACGAGTAACCTTTCCAAGCTCTGTATAAATTGCCAGTAAGTAAGAAGTTGTCAAATTGTGATCTTGCAGTTAGCTCTATATGAAAACAAAGAACTTCATGATGTATGAAAGTAATTTTTAATTTGGCTATAAATACTAGTAAGAGCATTAATTTAGATACAAATTAGTATTACAAAGTGGGTTCTGAAATGAAATATTGTTTTTGACTGAAAAGGCTTTTGGGATAGTATTTCACACGGGTAATACGGTGTTGTGCCAGTCTGTTTTATTTCTATGACACACCAATTTTGCCACCACCACTCCCAGCCTCCATTTGATTGTTCAATGATCCTTTTGTATCTCACTATCACAAATGATGTTTGTGTATTAATGGAGAGCAAATGCGGGTCATTGACATTAAAATATGTACGAAGTAGTTTTTTGCCTGTTTATATGTGTTTAGGTGTGCAAAACATGTGTAATTCAAACCTTGCAAATATGTTATTATGCATTATTAGGCATTATTTATAATTTACAATATGTATAGGCAGTTATCTGTCCTTATAACATGAACGTATAATATCATCAAAAGATGTTTTTTCTATTTCACTGGTTTTAAAATTACCTTAGGCGATTTTTAACTTATTTTATAAACATTATATACAAATCAAATAATATTTACAGCCCTTCAAAGTACTGGGTAAAACCGGACCAATTAGATACACAAATCAACTTCGGCAATGTGGAGTTTTTCAAAAAAAAAATATACCATTGGGGAAAAAATCCATGGTCGGCAATGAGAAACAAGGACATTCCGCCAACTGGATACACACATATTTGTTTACAATTTTTTATATGCCTAATCAAATATATGATTTGACATCGAACAGTTAAAACTTCACAGCACACGCTAACGCCATTTTTTAATACTAAAATTCAAGAACAACAACATTTGAGAAACTCCAAAGTGTACACACACGCACCTTTGAAACGGTTT